TATATTATATATATACTATATAAATATATAGTGTTGTGTCCGTGATGGGTGTGTGTGTGTCATGTGTGTGAATATGTGTGTGTGTGTGCATTATATTATGTATGTTATATATATATATAGGTTAATTAATATATTTGCTATATGTGTGTAATCCGTATAAATGTAGCACATAGTGTATCACATATATTACATACAATATACATAGTATATATGTATATTATTTATAATATATATATAATATATTTATATTTACAAATAATATAATGTATGTATATACTATTATCACCATAAGTATATATATAGCGATATATCAGTAAGTAGATATACTTTACCACCACACACAACACACACACACACACAACACAAATAACCATTATCCCACAACCAAACCGCAGTGCGATAACGAATTTCAAATTTCGTAACTCGAGATATTCCGAACCCCAAAAGGCTTCAGACTCTTGGGGCGTGAAAATCAAGCGGGCGAGAAGAGGCTGCGGGTTGCGTGTGTCAAAGTATCCTGTGTGTGAGATGAGATAAACGTGAGATAATGTGTGGTTGCTTTGCGATCGTTTGATTTATCGTGGAAATACCTTTATCGGAGATATTTGGTTGAATGTTAGAATTGTTTTAATAGCTTATTTATATATATTGTGGTTTAGTATGTATTGTAATTGAGCCTAGGCGCAGAGTTAATATGTTACACATTTTCATTATTCAGTTGCATTTACTGTAATTCGTTTGTATGAGCAGTCCATCATATTAGTGTAATGGTATACGAAGATTGGTAGATAAATATTATTATTATTTTATTATTTTATTATTAATTATATTATTTTATTGCTCATTATTATATTATTATTATTATTCTATTATCATTTATCATTAAGTTATAATTATTAATTATAATAACGAATATTATTATTATTATTATTATGATTATTATTATTAATAGTATTATTATCCATAATTATCTACATCATCATCATCATTCTCGATCATCATACATCAATCATCATCAGCTACAAGCATCATCGATCACCATCATCCATCATCATCATCATTATTATAATTATCATAAACAACTTATCTATCAGATTTGTTGCTGTTGTTGCTATCATAAATCATTATCGATATGTTAGTCAATCATGTAATTATAACAATTATACAATTTGCGCTATCAATATGGGTAATGATAACAGATGGCAGGTCTAATTATAAGGGTCATAAAAAGTTGTTATGTTATTGAATGATAAGTGAGACAAGAATATCATGAACATTTCAGTTTATGTATCGTGTAAGTGGTAAGAATGAATGTAAATTATGGTAATGAAATGATAGATAATGACACCATAAACAATATGATAACGATAATGATGGTGATGATAATGCTGGTAGTATAATGACAATAATAATGATAATAATGATTTGAATAGGTATAATAATGATAACATTAATAGTGTTTATAGTGATTTATAATGATGATAGTGATAAGTAAAGTGACAACATTTGTAATGAATGAAAGAGTGAATAATTGATAATGATAAAATGAAATGAATAATAATAATAATAGTAATGTGATAATAATAATATAATAATGATAATAATCATGATAATAATCATATAATAACAATAATGATGATAAAAATATAACAAAAATAATGATTAATGATGATGATAATGTAATGATAATAATGGTAACAATTATATTGATTAATGATGATGATGATATGATTATAATGAATTAATATGAATGATAATGATAATACTGACAGTAATAGGTATAATGATAATGATGACAGTGACAGTAATAAAAATAACAAGTACAATAATACTACAATATCAATATCATTGATGATAATGATACTGATAATGATAATAATAACAATGATAACATTAATAGTATTAATAACTATGATGATGTAATGATAATAATAATGATATAAATGATAATGAAAAAAATATGATGGTAGTAACGATAATAGTAATGATGATAGTGATGATGATAATGGTAATGGTAATAATGATGGGTGTAATGACAGTGATAATGAAAATAATGATAATATTGATAATGCAATACTAATGGTTATACAGATAATAATGATGATAATTATTTGCTAATAATAATCATTAGATATAGTAATGATGGTAATGATAACGATAATGATAGTATTGATGATAATGATAATATTGATTGTACTGAAGATTTTAAGAATAAACATAACGTTTTAATGATAATGGTGAGGTTGGTGATTGCATAAAACAATAAGAATGATAATGATGAAGATGATAAATACGATGTACCTAATAATGATAGTAACAATGATAATGATGATGATCTGTATAATGATGGTAGTGTCAGTAATGATGATAATAACAGTAAAAGAAATAGTGATGTGAATCAATCGTCAACATTAATCGTTATGGTCATAATGGCAGTGCTCAAAGATGCAGGTCTAGTAAAACGAACAACCGCTTATGATATCAACAGTTATGGCGACTCTCTCTCTCATTTTCATCAATATTACATCGCCATCGTCATTATCTTTATCTTACTTTGTCTCATCACCGTCTTCATCTTCTCTTTCATCGTCACCATTATCAGCATATGAAATCTCGGTTCTGATATTAGTTGAATTGTTATTCTTGGTGCTGTATGTGTTTTCTTCTATAGTTATGGTAATAATAATCCTAATAGTAATAATGATGATAGTCAGGGATTTCATAATTTCATGTTTTCATTGTTATCATTGTTTTCTTGTCATTTTTGCTATTCTCATCGTCTCGTTGTCATTTTTACAAAAATTATCATCATCAGTACTAATATTTTTTACGTTTTCATGACATAATCATTATTATCGTATGGTTTTATCATTACGAAATTCATTATCATTCATCATTACTACTACATTTTACGCGTTCAAGGTATACCATTGTCTTGCCTGAAATGCAAACGGTATAACACGCCAGAGATACATGATAGCAATATGACATGTATAAAAGCGTCTCTGCGGTTCCCTGTGTAATAGTAACAATAACACGGCAGAGATACAAACAATATAATAAAGATATAGACAATATAACACACCAAAAAGATAGACAATATAACACGCCAAAGAGATAGACAATATAACACGCCAAAGAGATAGACAATATAACACGCCAAAGAGATAGACAATATAACACGCCAAAGAGATAGACAATATAACACTAAAGAGATAGACAATATAACACGCCAAAGAGATAGACAATATAACACGCCAAAGAGATAGACAATATAACACGCCAAAGAGATAGACAATATAACACACCAAAGAGATAGACAATATAACACGCCAAAGAGATAGACAATATAACACGCCAAAGAGATAGAGTAACACCCAAAGACAGACAATATAACACGCCAAAGAGATAGACAATATAACACTCCAAAGAGATAGACAATATAACACGCCAAGAGATAGACAATATAACACACCAAAGAGATAGACAATATATAACACGCCAAAGAGATAGACAATATAACACGCCAAAAGAGACAATATAACACGCCAAAGAGATAGACAATATAACACGCCAAAGAGATAGACAATATAACACGCCAAAGAGATAGACAATATAACACGCCAAAGAGATAGACAATATAACACGCCAAAGAGATAGATAACACGCCAAAGAGATAGACAATATAACACGCCAAGAGATAGATATAACACACCAAAGAGATAGACAATATAACACGCCAAAGAGATAGACAATATAACACGCCAAAAGATAGACCACGCCAAAGAGATAGACCACGCCAAAGAGATAGACAAATAACACGCCAAAGAGATAGACAATATAACACGCCAAAAGAGATAGACAATATAACACCCAAAGAGATAGACAGCCAAAGAGATATAACACGCCAAAAGAGATAGACAATATAAACACGCCAAAGAGATAGACAATATAACACGCCAAAGAGATAGACAATATAACACGCCAAAAGATAGACAATAGCCAAAGATAGACAATATAACACGCCAAAAGAGATAGACAATATAACACGCCAAAGAGATAGACCACGCCAAAGAGATAGACAATATAACACGCCAAAAGATAGACAATATAACACGCCAAAGAGATAGACAACACCCAAAGAGATAGACAATATAACACGCCAAAGAGATAGACAATATAACACGCCAAACAGATAGACAATATAACACGCCAAAGAGATAGACAATATAACACGCCAAAGAGATAGACAATATAACACGCCAAAGAGATAGACAATAAACACGCCAAAGATAGACAATATAACACGCCAAAGAGATAGACAATATAACACGCCAAAGAGATAGACAATATAACACGCCAAAGAGATAGACAATATAACACGCCAAAGAGATAGACAATAAAACACGCCAAAGAGATAGACAATATAACACGCCAAAGAGATAGACAATATAACACGCCAAAGATAGACACACGCCAAAGAGATAGACAATATAATATAACACGCCAATACACGCCAAAGAGATAGACAATATAACACGCCAAAGAGATAGACAATATAACACGCCAAGAGATAGACACACGCCAAAGAGATAGACAATATAACACGCCAAAGAGATAGACAATATAACACGCCAAAGAGATAGACAATATAACACGCCAAAGAGATAGACATAACACGCCAAAGAGATAGACAATATAACACGCCAAAGAGATAGACAATATAACACGCCAAAGAGATAGACAATATAACACGCCAAAGATATAGACAATATAACACGCCATACAATATAACACGCCACAATATAACACGCCAAATAGAGCCAAAGAGATAGACAATATAACACGCCAAAGAGATAGACAATATAAACACGCCAAAGAGATAGACAATATATAAGCCAAGAGATAGACAATATAACACGCCACATATAACACGCCAGGGTATAAAAGTCGTCTCTGCGATTCCATGTGACACGCTGACTGCCATGCTTTCAGGAACC